TGAGAATTAACAGATCTTAATGCCCTTTTGTCGAGGCAATCGTCATGTCCCTAAACATATGTGAGAATTCCCATGACACATTAGTGTGTTATGCTCTGACAAGTAGGTGGAAAAACATGAGAACCAATTCGGGAAAGAGTGTTTGTTCTCAAAGTGCGAAAACATGGGTTCCCCTCTTATCCGACCCCGCCGTATTTATTTGGTCCTGTGGACGTTATGGAACATCTGGGCCTATCGCATGTCAAATCGTGCCTGGCATCCCAGAACTCTCCTGCCTGGGGTGTGCGTTCATTGATTGACCGACTCGTGTGCGAAAATCCCTTTTGGGAAAATATCGAGTAATAGATCTGCAGCACGAGTGAGCGAAAGTATCACGTATTGTCGAAATCACCGTGCACGTTTATGGGCTTTCTGACTTAAAATACCGTGGCACGGAGCGTAGATTCGTCCTTTGGCATAGGCCGTACCGTAACACAGTTTTAACCTAAAAGGATCCGGTACAGATGTCCGTGTGGTAAAATAGGGAGTATACCTGTTTCCTAATCTAGTGGTCTTTCACCCCTGACATGGCACCCAATGGTGTGTTCACCTAAGTAATTTCCTTGGACAAGAATGATGAATTCGATATTTTACTATATATTCTCAAAACGATGCATTTGAAACTATGCTCAACATATGTATTTGCTTAGTGTTAGCGTACGCCAAAGCGCCGAAGAAATGAAAACGTGGTAACTTTAGGCATCAAGATCGGACACGAATTAGGGCTTAAGGTCACCCGTTGGGCGGAAACTGTGGAGATAGGGGCCTTTTAACAGAGGAAGCATTGCATTTTTGAATATTTCAATAAGAAAAGGCCTATTTGCGTGCATTTATGATTCTAATTCATTAAAAGGAATTTTTTAGGGAAATACAGAAAACGCCTTACTTACGAATTTCCAGATGTACTAACAAAGCGGATGTGTATATTACTATAATAGTAATCAGCTTTAGGATAAGAAAACAAGTGCATTGTGGTATACTTTTACTGGATGTAAATTTGAATGCAGCAGAGTATCACGTAAAATATTGTTGAATCATGCTCTTGAAACATTTCGAGTTAAGATCAACCGTTCGGAAAGTAATTCGGTCGTAGTTTGAGAAGTGCTTGCAGTTCAGGGGGAGGGATACACTTCCTTGTGCTCCACTGACGTCGCTAAAAGGAAGCTTTACTTCTATTGCTGTAGGAAAAGGTTTGGTATCTCAACGATGCACAGACTAGTAGGGAATGCGCCGTTTGGAGATATGCGCGATAAGACGGGATGAGGTGATACATGGCTAGTCCTATTGATACCGCTTTCACCAGCATAATGGACAGCATTCAGTCATGACGTTGGGGTTTTATTGGGCGCTGTCTTGTCCATGGGATACATTTCAGTCTGGGGGTTGACTTCAGGGGATGGGATGGCTATATTTCAGTCTAATTCGTTGTTATCTGATCCTTCTGTGGGATTGTGGGGGCGACATTGTAGTGATTCGTCGAAGAAATGTACAATTTCCAGGGATTCCACTCAAGACAAATGCACTAATGCCCCTCAATCAGTTTGTTGCTACACCGGCAATAGTGGCACGACAGTTATCACTGTGGCATTGCACGACCCAAACAGTTGGAAAACATAGTGGAAGGGCTTAACGAAAATGAACAATTTGAAGCACTTAGTACACACAAGATTATGCGAGAATATTAGGCTGCTTATCCGTAAACTATAAGAATCGCAGAGGTCGTTGATGCGAACAAAACCCGGTCGTGAGTGTCCCTGTTGTCAATTGCATTGTTCCGAAGAGTTCTTTTCACAACTCTTTATACATCTGTAGTTGTCTGTGGTGGTTGTGCACCCCTTCTTCCCAACAATGCTGGAATATTATCCAGAACCTGCCTTATCAAAATACAGCTTTAACCAATGTACAATGTCTGACAGGAAAATTTAAAAAAAACAACAAAACACATTGAAATCTTCATCGTCCTGAGGAGGACGGAGTTGACAGATAAATGGACATAAGCACCGGAAACCGCGCAGTCAATAGACGGCACCTGGTAACTTGGATGGTTCAATCACTCGACATAAATTCGGAATCCGCCCTAGGGTTTTGAATCAAATATTACTTGCTACTTCACGGGGTGAGGTTATTTCAACATAACAACTACAGCTGGGCAATATTAAAAGACTGTAAGTGCGGAATTTCAATGTATTCTTGGCAGTGTATTTTCATCATCCACTCGAACCGACTTATAGGATCACCTAAAGGGAACTGAGAAATTTGAACCAACCT